AGTCGCCAGGCAGGACTCACGCCTCCTTGTAGTAGACGGTGAAGCTGATGAGGTCCCTGTAGTCCGGGGGCCGGTACCGGCGCCAAGTGAGGATGATGCGGTTCTTCCAGGTGTTGGTGGAGGTGAAGTGCAGGACGTCGCTCTCACCTGGGGCACAGAGGCACAGCTGGGAGGGACAGCCAGCCATGCCCTCCTCCGGGTGGCGGAGGGGTCACCTGCCCTGCACGGTCCCCCTCCCCTCCAAGCGGGCCGTGCACGCGAACCAGGCCCCTCTCTGAGCCTCTCGGTGGCTTCCTGATTTCTACAAAGGACCCAAATACGCGTGCGCCACATGGATGGGGCCCCCAGGGGCTCCCCCCGCCGGGGCTTGTGCACAACTTCTCTGAAAGCAGTTTCACACACGGGGGCAGGTGAGAATGAAGAGGGGCCAGCTTTTTGCTGAAAAATCATCTCACCGTATCCCTGCGCACAGAAAGACAGTGAAGTCCGTGCACGCAGTGAGCGCTGCTTTAAACCCTCCTAAGGGCCTATTCCTAAACATTTAGCACACTCATGTGGATGCTAAGGAAAACTTACAAATTATCACGAATCTGCCCCACCGTTGACTTTGAAATACACGCGTGCGGGCAAAGGGCTCGGTAAGGAGCCCGTGTGCCCCCGAGTGGAGCAGGAGGGGGCCACACACAGAAAGTGTAGGTCGGAAACGGGTCCCTTTATCACCGTGTGGGGTCCTCAGGGTTTTGGAACGTGTCCACTCACAGGAGGCTCTCTCTCCGTTGTTCCTGGTGTTTATATCTCCTTTGCTCTGGCGCCCCTTTGTCCCCGTCACTTCCTCCATGCGGTAAATCTCAGAGACGCACAGTTTGGGATTGAAAGCGAAGTACATCTTCCCGGATTTGATGGTCAGGTTGCGGTGGTCCCAGTCCCACAGCTGCTGCAGGTTCTGGTTGTCCAGGACGTAGAAGGAGTAATTCCTGCAGGCACAGAGACCGGCATCAGCCCCCCCGGCCCCCGCCCCTCGTCCCGCCTGCCGCCACCCCCGCAGGTCCTTTTGGCTGTGTGGCTCCGGGACACAGGGCCTTTGCCGTAAGGGATTTAGTCACGAATGGTCTGTAAGAAGGAAGCGTCACCGTTAACAATGGAAATAAGGGGAATCGAGAACAGCATAGTGAAATCGATGTGGAAATGGACAGGACACTGGCCCTGGCCGGGTAGCTCAGCTGGTCAGAGCGTTGCCCCGATACGCAAAGGGTGCAGGTTCGATCCCCGGTCGGGGCACATCCAAGAAGCAACCAATGACGCATAAGTGAGTGGAACAGCAAACCAATGTTTCTCTCTCTCTCTCTCTCATCAATGCACAATAAAGAAACAGACAAGATGCTGATTTCATGACCTGTATCGCCAACAAAGCATGCTTCTCACACTCGATGGTGTTACTCTGGTCACCCCCAGAAATGCCCTTGGTTACCTCCCTCAGTGCTGAGCACGTTCAACATGCTGGAGATGCGCCCACAGGAGGACAGACCCAACTGGAAAGGCTTACACACAGGCTGCAGGATGTCTGCCACTGTCCTCGGGGTAAATCCCAGCCACGCCACCAGCAGCCGATGACAGGGTAGGACAGAGACAGGGCCGGGACTAGAAGGTCGTTAGTGAGCTGCACAGACACAGGTGAGTCGCTGAGTGCTTCCTGTGGCCCCGTCTACTCGCCCGTAGGAAAACTTGGGGGCGTGAACAGGTGTCATCGAGCTCCCGCTGGTTTTTGGAATCCGAGACCGTAATGCCCAGGGGAAGGCACTGAACGGAGGTGGGGTCTGCCCCGCCAGCCTGAGGCCCACCCCTCCACACACCTGCTGGGGACTCGGGTGGGAGTCCTGCTCGCATAGGGTTCATCGAGCCATGTGAGTCCAAAGCAGTGCCCCTGAAACCAAGCCAGGCTCCTCCACACCCACCTTGAGGCCTGACACACTCATGACGGTCACCAGTCAGGTGGCAAAAACTTTCATGTCAGCAACCCTTTCCTTTCCATGGAGAGCTCACTCCCCAACACACACGCTCGCCGGGAAAGGAACATGAGACACCGTCTACATGATTCTGGAGGCAGGATGTGCAACACAGACCACATGTGCAGATAGAAGGCAGGGGACATAGCAAGGTACCAGGTGCCATTCCTCAGGACAGTCCCCACCGTCTCCCTCACTGCCAGGTGCAGGGATGCTGCTGGAGGGCAGGGGACTCATGAAGTCATTCACACAAATGAGGGTGGGGTGGACAGGTGGAAACAGATGTCTCCAATTTGGGCCCATTCTTGCCCACGGAGTATTTCTGGGTCTGAAGGACACTGTGCGATGTGACTACCAGCCCCTCCGGGTCGGGCTGCTCCCAGGATCCTGACTTGGCCACACGGGAANCAGTCCCTCCGGGTGGGGCTGCTCCCAGGATCCTGACTTGGCCACATGGGAGGAAAACCTCTGGGCTGGGAGTACGGGCCCAGTGGCCAGGCCCAGCTGCTGTCTCAGGCCAGGATGAGGCTTCTTTTCAGTAAAGTGACTTCACTAGCAGGGAACAGAACTGCACAGAATACCTTCTGAACAAAGCTTGCTGCTCCCCACGGGGAAGAGCATGAATCCTGAATCAAGCGTTTGACACATGAGTGGCAGGCACACGGGAATTCCGCGTGCGATTAATCACTCTGAAAAGCAGGATCTTTTTACAGTAAATACAAACATTTTTTTTTTTTTTACAGCACGGGGAAGGCTGGGGGGGGCCGGGATACCAGTATCAATAAAACCCAGGCGTTATGGAGCCTGTGTGAGTAACAAAAAAAATAAAACCAAAACCCTCGTCAAAATTATAATCAAGCCGTTCCTGAGCTGCCTGTCAATACTGCTCCTGTTTTTCAACCCTGGCTCCCCCCAATTCCTCCCACGATTAGAGGGGAATTAAGAGGTAGTAAAGGCAGACTCGTCTGCATGTCTTTGACATGCGTGTGCGCGCACACACACACACACACACACAGATTTTTACTGTTTCCTGAAGGAAATGGCTATTTAGTCAATCACTCAGCAAGTGATTTCCTCATTGTTTCTAAGCTCACCGTCTTTACACCCAAAAACTATTTTTAAAAATTAAAGTATCTGTTTTTCTGTAGCTCACAAAGGCTCCACGATGCCTGGGTTTTACAGATGCAGGAGAGCCTCACTTAACGCCGTCCAGAGGTCCTGTGACTTTAGGCGGAAGGGCGTGTGACAGAACTGATCATACCGCGGCTGCCTTATATAAACAAGGAGGTTCCTCCGCATCTCATCACCGTGACGACAGAATGATGCTGAGCGGAACGACCTGTTGCTTCGAGGACCTGCTGCGTTGGCATCCTGGCTCCCAGCCTTCTCCACACAGAAAAAGATGTTTGCTTCTGTACGGGGGTAGTAGGCTGGTCATCTCCTGAGGACATGGGTCTGTGCACCATCTGCGCCGATACTCTGAATGCCTCGCACGTTTNGAGGACATGGGTCTGTGCACCATCTGCGCAGATACTCTGAATGCCTCGCATGTTACACACGCCCTGTTCGATCTGTGGCTCCAGGCGCGGGCCTGTCTTACCTACGAGCTGCCGACATCACCACCTCCCGCCTGCTCCCATGAGGGGCAGGAAGGCTTGGGGAACAAAGGAAGGCAAAGGGGTACTTGCGCGGTATCTAGAAGGCAGCCTGGGACCTGCACGAGGAGAACCGCATTTGGGAATCCAAAGATCAGGGTCTGAGCGTCATCGCCGCCACTTATTAAGCAACAACTGTAGGCAAAGTATTAACTCCGCTTCTCCAGGGCTGGGACAAAAGGCGCTGAGCCTGTGGTCTCCAGCTGACAGAGGGAGGAGGGACAGTCCCCCCTTCCCAGCCCTTGCTGACAAATTGAAAAGAAAAAAAACTCCTGCACTGATCACTCATTTCTCCGAGGAGAAAGCGCCTCTCTCCGGCTGCCTCTAGGGGGCGTCAGAACCCAGCTCACGGGGCTGACTGCGGCCCAGCAACCCGCAGGGGATGCGGGATTCGGCTTTTCACCGATGCTGCCTCCAACCCACCCACCAGCAAAGGGCTGCTTTACACGGCCTCCAAATCGCGCCCAAATCCAGCATCTGCACCCCCCGGTGGGGCTCAGCAAGGGCAGGATTTATAGTCAAGCGGCACTAAGCAGCAAACCGGTGCTCAGGAAATGTTTCCTCTTGGAAGGTATTTTATTTTATTTTATTTTATTTTATTTTATTTTATTTTATTTATTTTATTTTAATTAATTAATTTATTTTATTATTATTATTTTTTAAATATATATCTTTATTGATTTCAGAGAGAGGAAAGGAGAGAGAGAGAAAGATAGAAACGTCAATGATGAGAGAGTCACTGATCGAGCCCACAACCCGGGCATGTGCCCTGACCGGGAATCAAACCCCGATCGCCTGGATCCCAGGTCGATGCTCAGCCGCTGAGCCACGCCCGCCTGGGCTTGGAGGGTTTTTTAAATGCTTCACTGAGGTATAATTTACCCCCCCCCCAAATGGACCCATCGTAAATGGGAGTGTCATGAGTTTTAGCAAATTTGTACAGCTGTGACCATCCCCGCAGGGTAGTGTCCTCTCTATCAATGCTCAGGCTCCCTCACTGCCAGACGGGGGGTCTCCGCTGCCACCCCGGCCGTCACCGGTCTGCCGTCTCTGCCAGGCGTGCAAGGAACAGCACCGCTGTGACACACCGCACACGGTCCTGTGTGGGCGTGTCTGCCTCTGTCCGGGTACAGCCTGAAACTGCTGAGTCACATGGTCGCCTGTGCGATTTTTAAAAGTCCCTGAGAAGGTTCAGAGCCCAGCCCGGCCGCAGGCTGGTCTCAGGGCTGCTCGAGGGCAGGGTGACGCGCCAGGTGCTGCAGCCCGGTGGTGGGGACGTGAGCACAGAGGTGGATAAATGCATCCAAGACTTCAGTTCTTATTACCCACCGTCTCCGCCTGCTCTACTCTTTCCAGGGCGACGATCCTCAGTGGCAACAACGACAAAAAAAATCTGAACACGTTAACTCCTTACTTATCTGATGCCACCAGAGAACAGGGTGTCCAGATGAAGGAACCGGCCAGGTAACAGGAACGTCCTGTTCCTTTGCAAGGGCTGACAAACGAGCCCCTTTCTAGAAATCCCTATGTGTGTACGCATAAATATAGCAGGAAAGCCTTGACTTTCTTCGTGACTGACTGAGTGGTGTCCTCCAGGAAATCCTGGCCGTCTGGGTTCTTCTGGACATACTGAGGGCTGACCAAACTCTCTTCCTACTGAGCCAAATGAAAGCACAGCCACCACCACCTGGAGGTGGCAGAGCCCCCGGCCTGCTGTCCAAGGGGCCTGGGACACCTGGGACTGGGCACAGTGGCAGTGTCCTCGGTTCTGCAAGGAGACAGGCGTTCCAAAGGATCAGTGTCCCCCGTGGGGAGGACAGTGAGCTTTTCAGGGACAGAATGAGGAGCTGCCCTCTCTCTCTAGCTACGTCTGATGATGGAATTTTAAGAATTTAAGAACAACCGAGGGTTTGAGAAAGGCAAGGAGGCTGCAAAGAAACCCTTCTGCGGCCACTCTACCCAGTGGGAGCAGAACGTGAGGGAGAACGGCCTTTCCCACGACCTTCCAAACTCTTCCCTTCTGAAATTATTTCCCCAAATTCTCTTAGAAGGAATCCACTCATTAGGGGATGGCTCCGTTTATTTCAAAGTGTTAGCTCACAGCCTGGCCGGCACTGCACCAGCTTTATTTTTATTTTTAATCCTTACCTGAGGATATGTTTTTATTGATTTTAGAGAAAGAGGGAGAGAGAGAGAGAGAAAGGAAAAAGAAACATCAATCACTTGCCTCCCATCTGTGCCCCAATCAGGGGTTGAACCTGCAACCTGGGTACAGGCCCTGACCAGGAATCGAACCTGCAACCTTTCGGGGCCCAGGACGATGCTCGAACCAACCAAGCCGCCCGGCCAGGCCAGGGCACCTTTCTTCTTAACAGGAAAGGGCTCTGACCTCGGGCACACGGGATCCTACAGGCAACCGCTTCCTCTGTAACAGGGGAGCACTTACCCCTCGAGCTGCTCCTCTCCTAAGATCTGGCGAAGGTTTTTGAGGAAGGACAGGGAGACCAGGGCGTGGGAATGGCGGATCTTCACGTAGCCCGTCACCACCTCGATGAGCCCCATGAAGTTCTCCAGCTCTGAGGCGATGTTATCTGCAAAGAGGGGACCGAGCGACTCACTTAGCATGACAGGTGGTGGGGGGGCACACTCAGCATTTCCCACTAACGGTGTGGAAAGTGATTCCGTGGCAGGTCCTGTTCGGGGGGTGACCCTGAGATGCTCGGGCTGCTGGCACACGAGCCACTGTCCCTTGTTCCAAACTGCTTCCCTGGGCTTGACCGTCAACCCCCTCTCCCGGGACAGGGCCCCCGGGTCAGGGGAGGGCGAGTTTCTAGAAGGCTGGATGCTGTAGCTCCCAGGCTGATGACCAGAATGTAAAATTATAAATACCAGACAGCCAGTTGGCGGAGGCCGACACGTCTGGGGAGCGGCCCTCTCTACGCACTGTCAACACAGGGCATGGCCTCGCCGTCAAGGGCGAGACTAAGCAAACGGCGTCTCTGCAGCCGCCTGGCCCCGGTCTCGTTCCTAAGCCACCGGGACTGTCTGTATTGAAAGATCCCACACTCCCAGGCCTGAGAAAACAGGCCGCCACGTCGAGGATGGCTATCCGCGGGCCGCTCTGAAAACTTCGTTTCTGCGCGTCCAGGTTGGAAAGTTGGAAAGGTAGCTGCTAATGCACGTGTGACAACGATGTCATCTGTGACCGGCGTGTTTGCTTTCATCTTGGTTAGCCTGTCCTTTGCTCATAGTAAGTAACCAACATAAACTTCGACTTACATCAAAATTGTAATACACGACTATCAGGGACTGGGTGCTGTCTGACTAATGGGGTTTTCCTGAGTGTGACTTGTGAAGACTTATTTGATAAAAGGTTCTATTTTGCTTTGAAGTGACAAAAATAAAGGTGCCATCCTACAGCGTCTAACTCTACATTTGATGTACAGTTTCATGGTTTTCCAAGAGAAATTCAAGTCATAAAGACTAGAGGTTGCAGGCAGTTGATGTTTCAAGCAAAAGGCCTCGAATTGTAAAGGTGGGGCTGACATTACACCCCACAGTCGAGGCTGGGGCCGTCCTCTCTGACGAGCTTCCTGTCCCTAAACCCAACTCATTTCCCACATTGGACACAAACTAGAAGCCACGTGTCACCACTGGGCACAAATGGTACCAATTCCTTCTGCAATCATACTTCTCTGTGTATTTAATTCACAGATTATATTTAACCTTCAGGATAGGATTATCTTTAAAAAGCAGATTGAGGCACTTACAGGGTATGTTTCAGGGATAAGCAATTTTTTTAAAAATTAAGAAATCTGGCGAGAGCAAAAATCAAACTTTATAAGTGCCACAGGGGTGGTAAGAAAGCTCTTAGCTGTACGGATTCCCAGTTATCTCCACTGTGAAATAAAAGGGGGTCTCAAAAGAGTCAAAAGCACTAAGCAAAAATGTGTTTCTGCCGTCTCTCCACCATGAAAATACAGCTCACTCCTTTAACAAATAGCATCAAGGAAAAGTGAATTCACAGAATAAATAAATTAGTCGGTTTTCCCCCTCAAACTATAAAAGCAATTTCTTCACAAAAGGATTTAGGGGGGAAAAAATAATAATCCTCTTCAACCTCAAGGTCTTCTTACTATATTTATTCCAGCTTATGAAACAATCAGGACCTTGGCCACGTGGCCCGGGTGCAGGGAATTTAAGGCCCGTTGCTAGGAGCCCCTGTCAATCAACGGTCAGAAGCGAACAAGTCAGGGTAAGTCAGTCAGCGGGAACTAGTTCGCACAAAGGCAATCGCCAGGAATCCGTCTGCCACAAATGACAGTCACCCT